GCGGGCTGGGGGGGAACCGGGGAGCGTCCCGGGCACGGGGGTTCAGGCGTTAAAGCCGAATAACGATGCGTTGTCAGAGCGGGTGGGCGCGGGAGGCGGTTCATCCGCCTAACGCCTGCTTTCCCTCGGCAGGAGGAGGCCCAGGAGAAGAAGCTGAAGCGTCGGCAGAAGCTGAAGCGGCGTGGTAAGGCCGAGGGCGAGCAGGCCCAGCCCGAGGAGAGCGGGCTGGCCGACGGTGACCTTGAGCCCCCCCTGCCCAAGAAGACAAAAAAAATCAAAGAGAAGAGCAATGGTCTGTCTGGAGGGAGCGAGGACTCTGAGCATACGGTGAAACCATGCTCTGCTGTAAGCAATGGTGTGACATCCCCGGCAGCCCAGAGCACGTCTGCTGATGTGGCCACTGGAGAGCAGGACGGTGATGCAGAGGTAGTAATGTTCTGCTCGCAGAGCCCTTGTTTTGCTTAGTTAAAGTCCCACTGGTAGCGAGCAGGCTTAATACGTAGCAGGTACTGTGTGGATACATGGTATGTGAGGGCTGTGGGAGCATTAGGCTGCGTTCTAGGCAGTCTTTGTCACTGTTCCCCATGGATTTACGGCACCCGGTCCTGGGCATTGGGGAGTGCTTCCATCATGCTTGTTTCTGCCCCAGCTGCAAGTGGGTGAGTGAAGCGTAGCAGTACATACACCAACACGTGGTAGCCGTCTCTCCTTGTCACACTTTTCCCCCCTGGTAGTATATACCCACCTGTTTGGAGTAGTTTATCCTGCAGTGGAGGAGGCTAGCCTGCAGGACGCAGTTTCCACACGTTAGCTCATCTTTGCGTAGCAGCCTGTTCTGTGTCTTTCAGCAGAAGGGTTTCTCTGTGCTGCATAGGCAGTCATTGTCCCATAAATGTGCGCTGCTTTGTGCTCTAACGGTGCTTTCTCTGCTGGCAGGCCCTTTCAAGGAAGTATTTGGCAAGGTGTCCCCTCAGGGAAGGTCACAATTATCCTTATTAATTCCTGCTTCTGGAGTTCTGCCTGTTTGGATTTCACCCTTGGCCTTGAACATGTGTGCGAGGGGGCCCCAAAGTTTGCCTTCCCCTGTATAGGGCCTTCTGTGGGTAGTTTTCTCTTTTGTTTAAGATGATTCACATTTTGGGAATGTGAATCAAGAGAGTGCTTTTGGGTACATTGGGTGTAGATGTGGTTTCTTGGGTCTTTGAAGCAGAAGCTAAATAATGACTTTTAAGGATCTATTGGTGTGCAAAGCTAAGAAGCTGTTTGCGCGTGGTATACCAAATAGGTGTAATTTAGAGGGAAAGTCCTGCTTCACCCAGTGAATTGTGACACCAAATAAGTTTTGCTGCGAAAACCAGTTTTTTAATTATTTCAGTGGACTCCAGGTAAGATTTTTAACAAGTAATTTCTCTTTCCTGACTTGTCAAGCATATGTGCACGATGCTGTGAGATCACATGGAAGGGGCGGTTGTTCCCTTTCATTTGCCGTGGGTCTTAAAAGGCGGTTATATTTGAATTATGGATGAGATAGCAGTAGTTGTGTAGGAAGACCTTTGACAGGAAGTCTTTACTTAGGACTGATGTGAAAACGTCAGTCTCTCACACTGACGGGTGCAGTCTGTGTCAGTGTGCCTTGTCTTCTAATACAGGGTGGCTGGATTCCAGTTTCCCACTTTACGCTGTCATGACATTTTTGTAGGGTGCCTGCATCACAAGGGTTTTCTTTTTCTGTAAACAGAAAGGAGGTAGCTGGCAAAACTGCAGTGATAAAGTAAATGCATAGCTTTTCTCATGTGCCTATGTAGGGTATGTTATTTGCTTATCTCTTAGGGATAATAAGGGTTTTTTTTCTTTTATCCTGCTAGGAGCTGACAGAAGAAGCAAAAGAAGGCGCCTTCACCAATTTCCCTCTTTCCCAAGACACCATTAACCTTCTCAAAGGTTAGTTAATGTGACAAAAGAAATTTTCGTAAGTATTTATCTAGAATTGCACTCTCTTACTACTCGTGGAAGCAGACACGGAAGCCACAGCTAAATTGTCCTAAATTGTCTTATATTTATTGTGGGATAAGAACACGCACATGAGTGGTGACTGTAGGTTCATAGAATCTACTGTTGTCAGTAGGAACAGAGTTTCTGTTTTGTTCCATTTCAAGTTCAGTCATTTTGAGGTGAGTTTATTCTTCCATGGCCTGGTTATTCTTACACATACATTCTGGAGACAGTGTTTCTTTCCTCATCAGTATCGTTTTACTTTGTGTATCTTTATTTAAATTCCATTACCTGCTGTCTACAATATCACTTCTTAAATAAGTGTAATGGTGTTTCCCATATGAGGACTGTTTGGCTCCAGTGAACAGATTGTCTCTGATTACTGTTATACTTCTGGGCATTTTCATCTCTTCTAGATTAGTTTTGTTGTGGACGTAACCACTGTAGAGTTCTTGTTCTCTGTGTTGCGAAACAGTGAGATTCTTGTTTCCCAGACAAAATACTCCTAGTTGCTTTACTTTTTTCTTGCTCAGAAGTTTTTCTTGGATGGATTGTTTCAATTCCATTGTGCAAAATCTCAAGTTTTAGAATATCTTAAAGTAAACATCCTCACCTCCTCCCTTGCCCTCAAAACCAAGCTATGGCAAAATCTTGGGCTGTATTGGAAAAAACATGTATGGTTGGTGTTGTCCCCGCCGAGTTGTCTTATGCCAGACTTTATAAAGAAGTCTTTATTTCATTGTGAATCCTCAGCTGTTGTGTTTAAGGGGGAATACTTTTTGATCTAGAGTAGAAGAGAAGACACACAGGTGTGTGTTTCTTCTAACTTGCACCTTCTGTTGTGGACAGGATTTGACGTGATGTGTCCTGCGTATTTGGGCTAGTTATATATGGGGGCTTCTAATAGTTTGTGCAGCTTGCAGTAGAATCAGCACCTTTTAATGAAACGCCTTTGGATTATCTTACAGCTCGAGGTGTAAAATACCTGTTCCCTGTGCAAGTGAAGACTTTTCAGCCCATATATGATGGCAAAGACCTAATTGCTCAAGCTCGAACAGGAACCGGGAAAACCTTTTCGTTTGCTCTTCCACTGACTGAAAGACTTCAGAGTGTCTCGCAAGATGGGAGAAGAGGCCGTGCACCAAAAGTAACTTGCCACTTGAGGGTTAACACCAAAACCTTAGAATATGGCAGTTTTCAAAAGTGATTTTGTAATTGCTTTGGGACTTCTTTCTCCTTTATTGGTGTTTGTAATACTGAACACTTTCCTCAGCTCAGCACCTACAGTGTGACAGAGATTTTGCAGCATCACAGTGATAAAACATTTCATGTTAAGGGTTCCTTGTGACTGCATTTGGGAGAATGGTCAGGGTGCTGCAGTAGTAGCTAGTGGACTTCCAGACTGCTGTCCTCAGGAAGTAGCATGTGGCCTTGGGTTTCAATGCCCTGCCTCTTCTGAGGTAGCGGTTGAGTCAGCTGGACTTGTTTCTGTTCACTGAGGTTGTTTCTCACTATAAATTCAATGGTGATTGCTGAAGGCTTTTGGTTTTTTATATTTCCCTCATGTCTGGAGATTCAGCTTGATGGATGCTAGTGGTGTTTACATTTCTACTTAAGCATGAGATGGAATTGGCAACAAGATACCTGTGATCAGATACCATATTCCCACACAAATGAAGTGTCTCTGTTTATCATTGGACTGAAAAAATGTTACAGTCTGCAGATTTGTTGCCTACTTCATACTCCTATTTTATTAACTTTAAAAGTGATTGTAAGTTTTAAAATCTTATTGTCTGAAAGATTTCTAGAGAAGAATTCAGCCCTTGGCTTTATTGTTTTGTTCTTAAAAGAAAATGGAGCGGGGAGGGATGGATATTGGAGGAAGGAAGATAGGTGGAGAAGGAGGGTATACGGCTAGAGTGTGTCATGCTATGTATCTTTTCAGATCTTATTATTCCAGATTGCTTAGTGACTGTTCCTATCCTTTAATGGTGAACTGCACCTTCATTGTCCTTGGTAACGTTACTGAAGTGTCTATTTTCTCTGGCATTAACTTAAGAAAAACAAATTGCTGGTCTATATCCCAGTTATCTTGTAATGCTTTGCCTTGTTTCCCCTCACTGGCTATGAAACCAGGTGGTTTCATAGGAGATGGCAGGAAACATTGCTGGGACGGTGGGGAGCTGTGGGCACCTGTGCAACCTTTCTCATTCTATGAGCTGTTTGGCGTGAAGTAAACCCTTTTCTCCTAGCACTCTCTCCCAAGTGCAGCTGCATTTTTGTCTCTCTTCACTCCTTCCAGGTCCTGGTTCTTGTTCCAACCAGGGAACTGGCCACTCAGGTAGCCAAAGACTTCAAGCATCTCACCAGGAAACTGTCAGTGGCTTGTTTTTATGGAGGAACTCCGTATAAAGCACAGCGTAAGTAAACACTAAGGAATTACACCTGGGTTGGAGTTGACTTTCTCCAAAAGCATTCCATGAATAAAACTGGCTTTTTTTCCTCTTCAGAGTTTCACTTCGGACAGGAACCATGATATTGCTTCCAAAGGAAGCATACAGCCTGGGTTGAATTATTTTAGTTCCAATAAATCTTTATTTAAAAGAATGATTCTAGGTCTGTGAAGTGACTAGTGCTTTCAGTTTCTTCTTTATTGCATGTTTGTGTGGTTTTTCTGTGGAGATATACTGGGACTAGACGGCTGTCCAAGGAAAAAGAGACAATTGTGTATGTGTGTGTAGCTGTGTCTCTCTCCAGAGGTAGCTGTGAAAAAGAATTTAGCTGAAAAACTAAAGCATTTTTCTGTGATAAAGCTCTGGAGGATTCTAATACCAGCTAATGGCTGTTTGGAAATTGGCCTGTCTTGCCGTAACTTTGCTTGTGGCTTAGCTGGTATTCCTGACAATAACCTGGATCGCCATTAAGCTTACTTTTTTGTTACTTGGACTGGATGTAGTGCTTTATGCAGAGATTAAAGTGAAGGGCAGTAGCTTTTTGGTTCTAAAATTAGAAGTGTTACTGTGCATTCTGACACTGTCCTTGTTTTTCTGTCTTTTCTTCCAGTTGACATCCTTAAAAGTGGCATTGATATTCTAGTGGGAACTCCTGGACGTATCAAAGACCACATTCAGAATAGCAAGCTGGAACTTTCCAGTGTGAAGCACGTTGTTTTGGATGAAGTTGATCACATGTTAGACATGGGCTTTGCTGAACAAGTGGAAGAAATCTTAGGATTTGCTTATAAAAAAGGTAAATTCTGACATTGGGAGAGGAACAGGGGACAATGCAGAAAACACAATTATGCTACTTTGAAAACTGCTGGTGCACCCCTGACTTGAATCCTTTGTGCAATGCTGGTATTGGACCTCAGAGAAGAGGGTGAGGATCAGGTTCAAAGCAAGGTGACAGGTGGCTGAAGGGCTGGAATGGCATCTCTGGAAGGAGATGGCGGGGGGTTTTAACACACAGCACCTGCTATGCGTTATTAACCCAACTCCCTAAGCCCTAGTGTTCCTCATCCTGAGAGAGGTGACTGAGCATACCGTTAGGGTTATGATATGTCTGTGTGCTTGTTGTCACACAAAGTTGGCAGCTAGAGAATATTTGCTCTTTTCTGATATAATGGGCATTCAGTGAAGGCACCAGGTAGCTGGTACAGAGCAGAAGAAGGTTATTTTAATAGTGTGAATTTCCTTGCCACATTGTACTAATGCCAAAAGCTTTGAAAAGTGACTTGAATTACTGGAAGTAGAGATATCAAGGATTATGAAAAGCAAGGGTATTCTGGCCCTGGAAGCAACAAAAAGCTGATTGCTAGCAGTGTTTCTTCACATCTTTGTTAACTGTGCTTGACTTTGGAGAGAGTATATGAGCTTCATGGATCTTGGGTTTGACCCAGTACAGCCACTGTCATTTTTACTTGACTGTTACGTTCTCCCCGTTTCTGCAGAGCTGTTCTTTGTCCTGACAGCCAAAACTTACAGATAATCTTCCTAAAAGGGAAATCTGTATAGGTTTTGGAAGAGTTGTCATAATTATACAATCTTAAAAGTTTTCTTCAAAACGGGAAAATAAATTGTAGGGAATGATAAGCGTTCTTTTGCAGTATGTGTTTCTTTCTGGCTGTTCCTGTGGAGCTATAAAGCTTGTTCAACTTTTTCAAGAGGCTGTTTGTTAAACTGTTTTTACCTGGGGTAATCTATCTTCTTTTATAATTCTTTCCACCAGTCTGCAGAGTGTCCTTTTTAGCCTGCCTTTTTCTTTGCACATAGCCATATTGTTCACAGCTAGTTAGTATTGGAATACCACGCAAGGAGGGATTGACGCAAGAGTTCTTTCAGGTATGTGGGAGGACTTCAGGCACGGTCTAAGCTATTTTTAGCAGATGATGTAGAAATGTGTCTTGTACTTCTCGGGCAGGATGAAGGATTCGGTTTGATCCAGTTAAAATTACTGTAGTTTTGCCTTTGGTGTCTAAAGGATATTAAAAATGTTTTCATTGCTTCTAAGTTTTCTTCTTGTAGCTGACTTACTGCATATATGAGCCTCTCAATTCGAGAGCAACTCTTGCTTTTTTATCAGTTCTCAAGTTTCATAGTCTGTTGTGATGACTGAAATAGGTGGCCTTTCCTCTCAGGTTCTGAGAACAACCCCCAGACACTGCTGTTTTCTGCAACTTGTCCACGATGGGTGTATGATGTAGCAAAAAAATACATGAAAGATGAATATGAACAGATTGACCTGATTGGAAAGAAGGCTCAAAGGACTGCCACGACTGTGCAAGTGAGTGATTCTGCTGCAGAGCCGTGCAGGTCCTGAGAGCATGTGGCCTGGATGAAATGGGTTCTGCATCGGCTTTACAAATGGACGTGTGGAATGACTTTTCACATGATTGACCCGTGTAGTTTGAGCAGTAGTTTGCAAGCGTAAAAAAATAAATGTATTTTTGCGTTCATTTTCTGTCCTGTGTGTGGCTTAGATTTAACATAGATGTTTATCATGTTTCTTTCCCAAACAGCACTTGGCTATACAGTGTCGCTCATCTCAGAGAGCAGGAGTTCTTGGGGATATCATTCAAGTCTACAGTGGCAGCCATGGGCGGACCATTGTCTTTTGCGAGACCAAAAAGGAAGCAAATGAACTGGCTATGAATGCTTCGCTCAAACAGGTACTGGCGTCTGAATGGAGAGCAGCAGTTAAGGATATTCAGTGGTTGAATGCCCTGAAATAAATATGAGGTTGCAACTGTGTGGGTGAAGTTGTTTCTGTGGGTAGTTTTATGACATGTGAAAGCTGCTTCTAATTGTGGTTATGAATTTACTCCGTTGGCTTTAAAAATCATGCAGGACCAGTTCAATGGAAAATACGCAGCTTATGCTGAATAACCAGGAAATAAAAATAATGGTAATAAAGAGGAGCTAGTATAGTGCTCTTTGGATTCCCATCTCTTAATGGCTTTTATTCTTTGAACAGTCAGTATTCAAGAAAATCCGCCTAATGTGGTAGAACAGAATGTTCTGTTGTCCTTGGAAGGTCATTTAATAACTTGTTCAGACCTCAGGTGATCTGTTGAGCAGGTTTTCTATGCTTGCTTGAGTTAGCACTCTTTTTCTGAGCGTGGGGAAAGGTACTGGATATTTTCAGAAAAAATCCTGTTTGATACTAAATACTAATCTGTGGCCAAAGAGCAGTGGTGGGAATACATGGTTTGCCCGGTGTTTGATAAATATCATATACCACCCGCATTAAAATCTTTCAGCAACAATTCCTCTCTGCTGGACCTGCTGCTTTCACACTAAATCAGTGACTTTGTTCTTGTGTCAGTATGTGACGCGATTTTCTCTTATGCTAGTGAGTTGTGCTTTACTCTCTTGAATTCTGAGCTTGTGACTCTCCTCTTTCTCCTTGTCAAACACTTGGTCTCTCTCGTGTCCTATTAAAAGTGGAGGTCATTCAGTTCACCTGTAGGGTTTGGGAGTCCCCTGAAAACCTTCCTTCAGCTTCTGCCTGTTTTGGGATGGCTTTCCAGGGAATGGAGCCAAGTCTCCTGCTAGCTCTTGACGAGCACTGCTTAAGTAAAGTTGTTTCCAGTTGTTCCAGTGGAATTGGGAGCTGAAGTGGGCCCTTGTTGGTGTGGCACGTTGCAAATTGTACAGTCTGCTGTTGGTATGCTACAAATAATAATGTTTTGGTAAAACTACTGCTTGTGAGTATTAATTGTCCCAGAGAAGGATCAAATCATGAAGTAGGATGCTTTATATGGCTCTGGTATCAGCTGTGTAATTATTTTCTGTTGCTCTGCACAGTATTTTGGGGTTTGTAATTAAATGTCTTTAGATACTGCAGCCCAGACTCCTCTGTTAAATCACATGTTAATGGTTTGTTTTGCTAACAGGATGCCCAGTCATTGCATGGTGATATCCCACAAAAACAGAGAGAAATTACATTAAGAGGCTTTAGGAATGGTGTGTTTGAAGTTCTGATTGCAACGAATGTAGCTGCCCGTGGTTTGGATATTCCTGAGGTTGACCTTGTTATACAGTGTTCACCACCAAAAGTAAGTGATTAGGGGAAACAGAAATGGTAATTTATTTTTTTGTGGCAGAACAGTGGGTTATTCCTTTGTTTTACCAGAAGTATGTTCTGACTCACAAATAGAGTGGATTTTTTTGTAAATGCAGGCCTAGAATTTCCTAGTTAAGCTTTTGTATTTTGATCTTTGATTAAAGTAAAAGTGATGGTTTTTGGTTACTCTGGAAAGTTGTAAGATAGCCTTTGACATTGTTTCAGTATTTCTGAATCCCTTCTGAACATTGTTGAGTTTCATAACAGTTCTAAAATACTCCTGCTGTCTTATTCTTCTTTTGGAACTCCAGTGGAGCTTTTTATTCTAAAAAAAACCCCCTTATGTCAATAGTGTTTGTTAAACCTGAGGCAGCATGCATTGGGCAGGGTAGCATACGCAAACCCGTGTGGTTTGTGTGTAGTTACAAGTTTGGGTATAGAGATATAATGTATTGCTTCTTAGGCTTCTGAATTAGAATTTAGCTTGCATTTTCTCTTTTACAATGTATAAATGTCAACAGTTTAAATGACATAAAGTTTTCTCATGTTACTTTGAATTTCTGCAGGATGTTGACTCGTACATCCATCGTTCTGGACGTACGGGTCGAGCTGGCCGGACCGGGATCTGCATTTGTTTATTTCAGAGAAGGGAAGAAGATCTTCTGAAACAAGTTGAGCACAAAGCGGTGAGTTGTACCTTAGTCCTCCACTTAATAAAATTAAGCGGCTCTTAAAAAGACTCTGCCACTCTTAGACTTTGTAACCATAGGCTGCTTATGAGTCCAGCATGGGGCTCATGGCCTGTAGTCCAGTAGGCCTAAAATGTTGGTATTTAGTAAGTGTTTGTAAATGCTTTTGTATCAGCCTGTTCTAATGTCTCATGAGTTTTCCCATGTTGGCAGTACTGTGTTGATGTCGGCAAGGCAGACTGTGACAGCATGAAGGTGGCCGTGCCTCGTGTTACAATCTGCATGTAAATTGGTGTAAGTTAGCTTCGGATTAACAAAGGCAGGAACTTAAAAGCTTTATTCTAGCTTTAGAAATAACTGAAGTAAGACTGTGTTGATGTTCTAAACAGCAACCGGAGGTCTCAATAATGTGATTTAGGTAGGGCTGAGTTGTAGAGTGCTGCAAACACCTTTAACTGTTATTTGTTTTCTTGATTTCAGGGGATTACATTTAAGCGTATAGGTGTTCCCTCTGCTACAGACGTAATTGAAGCTTCAAGTAATGATGCTAAAAAGTAAGTTTATTTGCCTGAAAAGTGTTTGTTTCTCTTCCTTGTGAAGTAAAAGCAAGAGATTCTTGGGTTTGCTGGCAACACTTTCTTGTGGATTCTTGGGTATGGCCTTAAGAATGCTGATATTTTAGAGCCTTCCCTTGATGTTTTTATCCATGCTTTCAAATGTGCCACATTGTACGTCCTCAATTTTGAACGCACCTTTCAAGATGCTTGGCTTAATGAACGGAGAAGGTGGGTATTCAGCATCCTGAAAGTGTGGAGTTAAATGAGTGGTAGAGAAGTGTGAGCGTGATAGCCAAGGCCTTTAGAGATAATTTGTTAATCTTGAAAGCTGTCTGAAATCAGACAGTGTCTTAAATTGTCTTAAATTTAATGTCTTAAACACGACTGCACTTCACACTGGCCTTTGCTGTTAAACTATTGTTCTGTTAAACTTCTGTTCTCGCTGTGTAGGTTGTTGGAGGCCATTCCTCCTTCTGCAGTAGACTACTTCAGAAAATCTGCTCAAGAGCTCATAGACGAAAAAGGGGCAGTTGCTGCTCTGGCTGCAGCTCTAGCCCATATTTCTGGGGCATCTTACATACAGCAGCGCTCCTTACTCAACTCAACTGCGGTAAGTAACATTATACTTGTATTAACAAGAATGGATAAATTAATTGCTTGAGTCCAGTCCAAGTGTGGCATCTTCTCTGGTTCCTTCAGTAGGACTTCTGAATAGCTGTTATCCCCAGCTTCCGGTTTGTTGCTCTTTCCTTACCTGAAATCAGCTCTTGGTGGCACTCTGGGGGAAACCAGAGAAACTCAATAGCAGTTAGTAAATTTTCTTGTAATGAGAGTTAAAAGAATTTCCCCAGAAATCTAAGTGACAGAAGACTTGGATGCGCTAAGAGAGTTTAACAAATGAAATTTTACAAGCTGGTAGATTGGTTCATGCTATTGTAGTTTTCCCTTTCCAGGCAATGTTTAACATTTCTGTAATATTTCAAGTAAGCCTAGTATGTGATTACCTGATTTCAAAGAGATCTTGGCAGAAGAGAAGTACAGCCCTTCCTTTTTCTGATGCATTTAGGGAGAACTTGGCCCAGTTCGTTGCATGGTAACACAGTTTTGGAAATAGCATGTGACTGGGCTGTGCTGCTTATATCAGTTGGGAGGTTTTTTGACCCCTTTTCTAGCCATAACTTTCTGTATGTATTGAATAAATATGTCTCTGCTTTTGGCTAAAACGCAGAAATGCTCTTGGCCTTTATATCAACATACAATCCTAGGTTAAATGGATGCCCTCAGCTTCTTAGGAGGCTCTTAGTTGCTTCACTTTTGGGAAGCGGATTTCTTAGGATTATGATCCTACATTATGATAGCAAGTTGTTGCATAGTTCATTGGTTAGCAAATTACAAGCTGTCCAACCAAGTTCAGTCTTGTAAACGTTTTTCTCTGTTTCCTGAAGGGCTTTGTGACCATGGTGTTACAGTGTTCAATAGAAATGCGTAGCATGAGCTATGCCTGGCGAGGACTGAAAGAACAGCTTGGTGAGGAGGTAGATGCCAAAATATCTGCAATGCGTTTCCTCAAAGGGAAAATGGTAAGATGGCCCAACCTTGGGGAAGGAGGGGCAGGGTGTGTGTGTGTACACACATGGCTAGTTTTTGCAGTGATTGAGGTATGAGTTCTGAAGTACCGTTATACAAATGTTGATACCTCGCTCTATACCTACTCAATCTCATCTCTCAGAAAACGGTAACCTATCATAAGACCCCCTGTAACTGCTGCCTATGTATACACTATAACAAAAACCCCTCAACCCAAAACCTTATAGCTAATTGGTTATTTTAAAAGACACTTATTTGAATGGATATGTTGCTCCTAAATGATAATGCAGGAATTCTCTCCCTAAAAAAAAAAAAAAAAGGCATCAGAAATATGTATATTGTGGCAGTGGTTCTTGTGACCTTTATTCTTTCGTTGTAAACTCGTGCTAACAGTATATACCACTGCATTGAAAAGATAGCTGTAGAGCAGGGCAGTGGCTGCCTGCCTGACCTGATCGGTAGGTACAGTATTCGCCTGACTGTCAGCCTGGCTCCTGACACTTGTCTCCCGTGCAAGTCTGTTCTCAGAGAGCTTGTGGTGCCAGATGATGCCTGTCCTTCAAACAGACAGGCTGACTGCAGGCAATGCTGCTGTCAGCACAGAGCATTTGAATCTGCATTTGGTTTTGCGCTTTTGTGTTTTAACTGCTTTTTTCCTTCGGATAAAAAGCTTCTCCCAAAAGACAGTGCTTTCTAGCATTTCTGGTTTCTACAGTTAGCGTGTATGACCAGTTGCAGGTGCTGCCTGTCTGGGGCTATGTTTCTCTTTTATTGGATATATCTTTGGAAAGCAAATGCCTCTCTTTTTTTTTTTTTTTTTTCATTCCTGTCATAGGGGGTGTGCTTTGATATCCCTGTCGGTGAACTGAGTAACATACAGGTATGTTTTTTGTAGCCAGAATTGGCTTTGGGACTTGGTGATTTGGAATTTGGTGATTCACATATATAGGATTGAATATAGGGTGGTTTGGGAGGGTAAGGTTTGTGTTTTAATAAGGGTGTTCCATAGACAACACAGTCATTAGAAAGAGCACACCACAGTCCTTAGAAAATACCCTGTCATCTTTCTCACTTCAGTTCTCACTATGTTACGTGATTTCATTAAACAAAATTGTATGTTCTCCGGCTACTGTGGGTTTTGACCTCTCCAGTGTATTTGAGAGTTAGCCAGTTTTCTGTCAACCATTTGCTCTTGTCCCTTTGTGATCGTTTGTTCTTTGTCACAAGATTACGAGTTGTCTCCCAAGCGGGATCTGCCGACCTGTGTTGGCGAGAGTGGGATTTGTCTGGAAATGCCTTTGCATTCAACATTGCTTTTAATGATACAGGGTACCTTGGACACACCTGCGGGCACATAAAGTCTCGTTAACATTGGTCTTGTTTCAGGAACAGTGGAGGGACACCAGGCGCTGGCAACTGTCGGTGGCAAAGGAATTGCCTGAGCTGGAAGAGCCCCAGGAGGCAGGACGAGGCTTCTCCAAGTTTGGAAACGGGAGGCAAGGTGACGGTGGCTTCAGGAGAAACAACTGGTTTAAGAATGGAAACCAGGGACATGATTTTAACAGGTCACTTGATTAACCTCTGGTACAGATACAGGACTGAGCTGATTTTTATCAAAAAGTAAAAGCCTGTTAGACAGTCCTCTTTGTCTTTATTCCTTGATAAAGCAGCCTGTCTTTGAGGATGGCTAAAACTCATGGTTGCTGAACTGACTTTTTTTAGGAAGGCTTTTCTTTTTGCCCAGCAAACCAGCTGCTGCCATTTTCTTGCCATTAAACTAAATGCCATATGCATCTGGAGGGGTGAGCATTTCACCGGAAACTCGGCGCTGGGGGAGATCAGTGCT